TTTTAAAAAAAGAAAGCATGCAGAGGTTTTGGGAGGCTTGTAGAGTGCTGCTGAGGGCGGGGGCAAAAACGGCCAGTTGTTTTGCTCATTTTTGCCCTCCCCAGCCCCCAGGAGCACTTTACAAGCCTCCCAAACCCTCTCTGCATCCATTTTTGCAAAGAGGGTGGGTTTTCAGTAGGCCAAAAATGCTGAATTCAGTGTATAAGATGCACCCTCTTTTTTGAGGGAAAAAGGGTGCGTCTTATACTCCTAAAAATATGGTAGGTAGTCCTTGGCTTATGACCACAAGAGAGCCCAAAATTTCTGTTGCAAAGTGAACATTTGTTAAGCAACTTTGGTCCCATTTTACGAGCTTTCTTACCACAGGTGTTAAGTGAATTTCTGCAGTTGATACATTTATAATATGACTGTTAAGTGAATCTGGCTTCCCCATTGACTTTGCTTGTCAAAAGGTCACAAAAGGTGATCCCAGGACCCCAGGACACTGCAACGGTCATAAATACAAATCAGATGCTAAGCAACTAGATTTTGATCACATGACCCTGAGGATGGTGCATAAGTATGAAAAACAGTCATATGTCACTTCTTTCATTGCTGTTGTAATTTGAAGTGGTCACTAAATGAACTGTTATAAGTTGAGGACGTGTATAACGTGTTTTCTTCAACATACAAACATACATAAAAACCCCAAAATCAAAATCTTTCCCGTTTATCACAAACACTATTTTTCTTTCTTTCTTTCACTATTTTTCAAAAGTTTGATCTGCTAGTATACCAAGAGGACAGTATTCCCTTGGCTATGAAAACTACTGCATAATTTTAAAATATCCAAAATTAAAGGGATGCCTTTCAGAACATTGAGTGACCAGACTTGCACAAAACTGAGGCTCGTTGAAGCAGAGTTTCAAAACTTTGGGCCGAACCAAATAGACCCCCTGAGCAACAACAGAAAAAGAAAATGATACGACCGACTGGCTGAAGCATAAGAGAGACATGAGATGGAGTTGGGAACAAGGGTTAAAATATTCCAACTCCACTAATGAATTATCTACAGATAGTCCTGACTTCACAACCACACCTGTGCTCGGAGATTTACTCATAAGTTCTTAAATGGGTTACCACATGACTTGATTCTACTTTATGAGCATTTTTACAGTGGTCATGAAGCGAATCACCACAGTTGTTAAGTGAACCGCACACTCATTAAGCAATTCCAGAATGTCTAATGGACACATGCTTGTGCTGCGTGTGTGTACGCGCATGCTGCGTGCCTCCATGTGGGGGGATGCTGGGCTTTGTTGTACCGTACCGGTACCATTACTGGTGCAATGGTTACAGTGCAAGTATTGCAGGCAAATTCTGCCCACAGCCTAGAACTCAATCCTGACTGGGCTAAAGGTTCACTCGGACATCCAAGATTGGTAAAATGAAGATCCGAATTGTTGGGGGCAATATGCTCTATAAACCACCCAAAGAGTGCTGTAAAGCACTATGGGGTAGTATATAACAGCAATAGTACTTAGGCTTGTATTCTGCTTCATAGTGCTTTTCGAGCCCTTTCTAAGCAGTTTACAGAATCAGCCTCTTGCCCCCAACAATCTGGGTCCTCATTTTACCCACCTCGGAAGGATGGAAGGCTGAGTCAACCTTGAGCCTGGTGAGATCCCAACTGCAAAATTGCAGGCANCAGGGGTTGACTTGGGAGTAAGGCTAGATGATGAATGGCCCCTCCCAGAGGAAATAAAAGAGTAGTGAAAGGGGAGTGGAGTTTGCAGAAGACTCCTTGTCAAGTTCTGCAGATATCGGCCTGTCAACTCCTTTGAAAGACTTTGCTGGCTGTGAATGAGCAGCATTCACAGTAAATTAATAAAAGTGTGTTTTGCTGGGACAAGGAGTTTGTTTCATGCTCTTGGGAAGCCTAGGTCAGAACATAGATGTTTTGCAGGTAGTTCTCAGTTAAGCACGATCATTGGGACCAGAATTTCCATTGATCATCATCTTCTTCTTCTTTTAACGATCCCATAATCCCTTGCGGGGTGAAGTCTGGGCAACTGATTGGAGCTAGCAGAGGGTTTACTGGCTGGATGCCCTTTCTGTTGCCAATGCGAAGTTTTGTTCGCCAGATATATTCTCATGGTATGCAGAGAGAGAAATATCTGCTTCTACCTAGGATTGAACTCACAGCCTCCTGATTGTGGGACAAAAGCTCCACCTCTAGGCCACCACTTCACTCTTGGGACCAGAATTTCCCCTGCTAAGTGACATTTACAGGTGCAGTGCAAATGGCAGTTCTGGCAGTTCCCAGTTACCATAGTTAAGCAGCATGGGCTGTTAAATGAGGAACTCATGTGATCACAACTTCCCTCCAGCTTCCCCATTGATTTTGCTTGTGCGAAGCCAGCAGGGAAGGTCACAAATAATAATTAGCGTGGATGGAAGGTTGACTCAGTCTTCCATCCTTCCGAGGTTGGTAAAATGAGGTACCCAGATTGGGGGGGGGGCATAGGCTGATTCTGTAAACTGCTTAAGAGATGGCTGTAAAGGGGTGTACTCACTTTTGTTGCTAGCAGTTTAGACATTAATGGCTGTGTGTTGCGTTATCAGGGTTGACTCAGCCTTCCATCCTTCAGAGGTGGGTAAAATGAGGACCCAGATTGTTGGGGGCGATATGCTGACTCTGTAAACCGCTTAGAGAGGGCTGAAAGCCCTATGAAGCGGTATATAAGTCTAACTGCTATTTCACCTATTTTAACCGCTGTAATGAAGCTGAAACACACAGCAGAGATTTAGCAGGTCTCTTCAT